TCCTGCCTAGAAAAATATAACCCTCGAATAGATTGGAATTCACGTAAACTTGACTTTTCCAAAAGCGTTATTAATAGTTCTACGAACCAAGTAAAAAATTATAAGTCTAGTACAGTAAAACCCGTACTGATAGGTGCAAAAGCATTTATACACGCAGCAAAAGAAGGATCAACTTTTGCTATTTATGCTGCACCTATTTCTGAAAACATAAAGACTTCAAGTGGCATTCCAAGTCAATATCAGGAGTATCAAGACGTTTTTGAGAAAAAGAATGCAGATATTCTTCCTGAGCATCGTCCATATGATTGTTCAATCGACCTCAAGGAAGGAACTCAGCCACCATTTGGACCAATTTACAGTTTATCGCAAGATGAGATGGCTGAACTCAAGACATATATTGACGAGAATTTAGCGAAGAATTTCATACGCCATTCAAAATCTCCAGCAGGAGCTCCAATTCTATTCGTAAAGAAAAAAGATGGATCTTTACGAATGTGTGTTGATTATCGAGGACTCAACAAGATCACAATCAAGAACAGGTATCCATTACCTTTGATATCAGGACTCCTTGACCAGTTGAATCAAGCTAAGATCTATACAAAAATAGATCTAAGAGGAGCATATAATCTAGTACGGATCAAAGAAGGAGATGAATGGAAGACTGCGTTTCGAACCAGGTATGGACATTTCGAATATAATGTCATGCCCTTTGGACTCACGAATGCACCAGCTGCTTTTCAACATCTCATGAATGATGTATTTCGTGAATTCTTAGACAATTTTGTCGTCTGCTATCTAGACGATATCCTGATCTATTCCAAGAACGTCGAAGAACATGAAATACATGTTCGTCAAGTATTACAAAAACTTAGAGATGCAGGATTGTACGCCAAGATGGAAAAGTGTGTATTTCACACTACTCAAGTTGACTTTTTAGGATACATCATTTCAAATGATGGTCTCATGATGGATTCTAAGAAAGTCCAAACAATCGTGGATTGGAAGATTCCAAGGACAGTAAGAGATGTTCAATGTTTCTTGGGATTTGCCAATTACTATCGGATCTTCATCAAAGATTTCTCACGAGTTGCAGCTCCACTTACACGCTTGACTAGTAAAGATAAATTTCAATGGAATCAAGAAGCGGAAGCAGCATTTGAAGCCTTGAAGACATCGTTTGTCTCTGCACCAGTCTTATATCGTGTTGACTTTTCCAAGGCATTTTTTATGGAAACAGATGCATCAGATTTTGCCTTGGATGCAGTTTTATCACAAATGGGAACAGATGACAAACTCCATCCGATAGCTTTTCATTCAAGAAAATTCTCAGCAGCCGAGATCAATTATGAGATCCACGATAAAGAACTTCTTGCGATCGTGGATTCCTTTCAAGAATGGCGTCATTATCTAGAAGGCGCTTCTAGTCCAGTCACTGTGTATACAGATCACAAGAACCTCGAGTATTTCATGTCAGCACGCATGTTGAATCGTCGTCAAGCTCGTTGGAGTATGTCTTTGTCAAGATTCGAGTTCATTATCACTTATCGGCCAGGAAAACAACAAGGTTTATCCGATGCCCTATCTAGACGTTCTTATTTTGCACCAAAAGAAGGAGATGCAGCTTTTGAGCAACAAAGAACGGTCCTCTTGAAACCGGAGCAATTTCATCTCCGAGCAATGAAATCAACATTGACTGTTGATTCAACTTTTCTCAAGCAAATCCAGTCCAGTATGTCCTCAGACCCTCTTGTTTATGATATCGAGAATAATTCTTCCAAGTCTCATGATCCTTCTAAGTTTGAGTTCAAGAATAATCTATTATATTTTGAAGGACGCCTATATGTTCCAGAAGGAGAAGCACGTTTATGTGTTCTTCAAGCACGTCATGACTTTCCAGCAGCAGGGCACTTTGGATATAATAAGACTTTGGAACTCATATCAAGAGATTTTTGGTGGCCACAAATGTGGAAGTCAGTCAAAGACTTTGTACAATCATGTGATATTTGTTCAAGATCAAAAATTCCTCGTCATCGACCTTACGGACTTCTTCAGCCATTACCTATACCAAAACAACCATGGTCTTCTGTTTCTATGGATTTCATCACAGATCTTCCAAGCTCAAGATCTTATGATTCTATATTTGTGATAGTAGATCGTTTCACCAAGACGGCACATTTTGTGCCATGTACAAAATCTATCACAGGTGAAGAAACAGCTAAGCTTTTCATTGATAATATCTATCGCTATCATGGATTACCTAAAGATATCATATCGGATAGGGGAACTCAATTTGTGTCAAGATTTTGGAGGACCCTTTTCAAGATTTTAAAAGTGGACATAAAACTATCTTCGGCTTTTCATCCTCAAACTGATGGACAAACAGAGCGCGTAAACCAAGTCTTGGAGCAATATTTAAGGTGTACTATCAACTACCAACAAGATGATTGGACAACCCTTCTGCCATTGGCAGAGTTTGCTTATAATAATACGGTACATTCTTCCACGCAACAAACACCTTTCTTTGCCAATTATGGCTATCATCCACGACTTGATACTTTTGATTTTTCAAAAGTTGATAATCCTGCAGCAGAAGATATGGCAAATCGGTTGTCAGAGTTACATGCAATAATGAAGACACAATTGAAGGAAGCTCAAGAACGACAAAAGATAAACGCAGATCTATATCGTAAGGAGCAACCACAGATCAACGTCGGTGATAAGGTATGGCTACTTCGTCGCAATATCAAGACTACTCGACCTTGTGACAAGTTGGACTATCGTAGGCTTGGCCCCTTTTCTGTTTCTGAACAGATCAACCCAGTTGCATATCGGTTACATCTACCAGAGTCAATGAAGATCCATCCTGTATTCCACGTATCTCTTCTTGAACCATATAAGACAGTGGATATACAAGGAAGAAGACAAATGCCACCGCCTCCTATAGAAGTAGATAATAATGAAGAATTTGAGGTGGAAGAGATATTAGACTCAAGGCAGCGCCGAAATAAGCTGAAATATCTTGTTCATTGGCGCGGATATGATATTAGTGAACGCACATGGGAGCCATCCAGGAATCTAGCAAATGCATCAACTAAAGTCAAAGTTTTTCATCAACGACATCTATCAAAACCAAGATGAAAATCTCTCTTATAAAAGAGACAAGATTGAGGCAAGATAACATTCAATTTCCTATCCTTGTTTGTAACTTCTTTGAATTTGTGACGCTAATTAGATGGAGAGCCAACAACCAGCACATTCAACTCAAGAACCTTCGTTTGCTGACCTGCCGGACGAGACATTGCGATTGTCACAACCTTCAAGACGACGCAACCGAGATGAAGACCCTCAAGAACGACATGTTCTTCCTCGAATAGATGGTGAGATACAACGCATTTGGTATCACGACCTTGGAAGAGATTCTCGATGTTTGGTGATATTATTGGAGATAGGAACGACTCCTGATGGTGTTTCAAATGTATTATTTGAAGGAAGTTATGAAGGCCTCAACAGTGATCAAATAACAGGGTGGTCTTCTCGCCCTGGAATGGGACACTATCGATGGCTAAGAGGACCCATCAACTATCTTCGTAGAGAACAAAGATTAGAGTATGTAGCAAATACAATTCGCCGCATATTAGATTTTCTCAATATATAATCACCGCTCCTCGTGGAACTCGTCCCTAGAAGGGGAGGTAATGTCACGGACATACATATAATTACCTATATGAATAGATAAAAGTATGTAAAAGTAGATAAAAGTAGGTTAATTGTGTAATATCTTCTAGAGAAGCTTCTTAGAAGCTTCATAGACGCTGCTTTGACTTTATAGGAGTCTATAGTTGATTTTTAGGCTAGAAACTTGGTCAACAAGTTAGCCATGTGCCACACATGTTGGAAGCTTAAAGAACAAGCTAATTACGTGGTCCATCTATAGAAAACTTGCCTTGTAAGCAAAGGCATGTGGCCTAGAAAGTCAACATATATTGGAGGTCTTATAGAACATCGCCATGTGGCTTCTAGTTAGATAGTATATATAGAGGCAAGAGTGAAGCCCTCTTCACTCTTGTCAACTCCTTTCTTGCTTCTAGTCCAGGTTCAAGAGTCTTTAGTTTCTTGTCTTGTGGCAATAGCCATTCCAGTTTCCTTTTAATATACCTACTTGTTTATATTATATCGAGATAGCCTTTTGGTGTATATTTTTCCTCATCGAGTCTTTGTCCTTGACAAGATATCAAGAAGATAGTAGATCTATAAATTAACCATGCATCAATTAGTAAGGTCCTACATGTAGTGGAGCCATATATTATTCAAATAAGACCATTTAAAAGTGAATACTAAAAAACATGCATTATAAAAGTACAAACTTCATATTTTTTTTTAATTAAAGACTTTAGAAATAAACTTATTACTACAACAATTATTATTCTAAATATCTCTAAGGAATTATATTATATACTATTCTAACTTTTAACAACCTAATCAAACTAAGAAATTATATTTACAAAAAGAAAACGATAAGTTATCAAATAATAATGTATATCTAATAATGAAATCCAAAAAAAACTAAATTTTAAACTTGTAATTTTTTAAGGTTATCAATGGTTACTAGTAAAACAAATAACAAGATTAATAGAACATTTTTATATATTATTACTATATAATACATAATATTACTTTAATTCTATATATATATATATATATATATTCACAATATGTCTTTCTTTTTTTTCTTTTTTTTCCAATCATAACTTTAAAGCTGCATCGGAGAAGAAAAAGCAAAAGTAAGCAGCCCAGATCCCTCCGACGTCGGCGTCGCCCAATCGAGCACACGTTTCGGATTGTGTCGCGGCGCACCAGAAACTCACGCACCGCACAACAGCAAAGTAAATCAAAGGACGATGGATGATGGAGTCACCCAAAAAAATATTAAAAGAATAAAATAAAAACCCATATCACAGTCCCGCCAAAGATATCAGAGAAGCAGGTCACGGTGGACCCAAATCTCGCGTCACACTGGCCCCGCATCGTTGCGAGCAGCGACGCCGCCAGCGGATCGGTGGCGAGTTCCATTGAGAGGTGTTGGATCACGACGCGTGCACTGTGTTGTGGCGCAAGGACTGTCATGGGAGGACAGAGGAGTGAGATATTACCCCAGCTGTGCTTTACATAGCTTCCTGTGGTGGTGCTGCTATTGGGGCTCTGCAGGTGCGCGAATGAGCGTCCTTATTGGCTTTTTGAATCCGTTTTGTTTCGCCTTTTCTTCCTTGCCGCGGGGGATGTAATTTTGCGTTGTGGGTTCGGTTAGGCTCCACGTTGCCTTTCTGGTTACGGGGCCCCCCTGTTCTGGAATGTGCAGAGAAATTTACCCACGGAGTACTTGGTCGTGGCGTTTGCACCGCAGTGTTGGATTTTCAGGATTTGACTTGCAGACCGGCTTACTCACCTCCTGATTACTGGTTAGTTTTCCTCGGTCGCGGGTATGCTCAATTTTGCTGGACGTTGTTGAATTTTTTGCGAGAGTCGGAAGTTTGTTGGAAGTTTTATATTTGTGGGATTCAAGTTGAAATTTCCGTTTCGAGAGACTGGGTTAGTTTCTGCTTAGAATTGCCTCGTGTCTGTATTTCGCATGCAAGTTGTTTGATCAATCGCAGTGGCGGCTTGGAAGTGTTTATGTCTGAAATGATTGCGAGTGTGTAGTGAGTAATCTTGAAATTCTAATGTTCCCCTAATGCTGCTGAAATCTCTTGCAATATCTCCACGAATTGCTTGGACCTCACTAGCGTCTAGTATGGGGGTTTGCAACTTGGGTGTTGTTACCTCTTTGCGTAGTGGGACAGTTGGTTTGTTCAGAACCGTTTCGGGTGAGGTGTGATGTCTTCACTTCTTATCCTCGTTTCTATGAGAGCTTAGGTTTAACTGATATAAGGAAAGTCTATCTGCTAGGCTGTCGCTCTTCTGTTTAAGGTCAATTGGTATGTGACAAACTCTCACCATTTTCTGGAATTGTGTTCTTGTAGGCCGTGAATGCTGCAGCTGAAATTCAGCTAGTGAATTTTGGACATTGAAAGATTGGATTTCATTTGGATAGTCTGTTTCCAGCAGAGTGATGATGGGAGCTTCGGCCATTTCGGGTGTTTGCAATTTGGCTCCACCAATCCTACCCAATCACCGTGAGCGAGACCACAGGAAGCTCAGTGTTTGTGACCATGAGATACTCAACCGGATGTTGAAGCATGGGAGAAACTCGGAGTCGACGTTGCCCGAGGTACATCATGTGGACCAAGCAACTCATTGCGATATGCATACGAATGTGAACGAAAGGGTTTGCAGCTGTGGGATGGAGAGCGCGTCGTCGCACTTTGTGTCAACTTCGGGGCAGTCACGGCAAGTTTCCGTGGCCATGAGTGGGGACAGCTTGGCAAGCACACACAGGAAACTACAGAAAACTCTCCACATGATGAAGGATGGGAAAAAGTCTGGTTTGAGGCCCACTCCTGTTCAAAATATTTCTAAAGAGCAGAGATACCGAGGACCATCAAAGAAATGGGGCACGGATGAGCACATGGATGGTACAGAGGATGTCACAAGGATGCTCAAGCGAAGGGCAGCCCTTGTGGCATTGGCTGCAGCAGGTTTCGTTTCACTATCACAACCTCTAGCGTCAGCTACGGAGCTTTCCAGGGTTGATTTTTTAGCTCCCATGACTGGCGTGGAGGCTCTGGAAGCGAAATTTAACGAGAGCATATACAAACAACTTCAGAATGAGATACAGATTCAACGGAAGGAATGGGGGTTGACAAGTGTTAGTACAACAGCTCCATCCCCGACTCAAAACCAACAATCGCAATACGTTGCATCAGTGTCGACTTCTGGTGATGACACTGATGCAACTGAATTAAAAGAAGAGGATCCGTTTCATGCTTGGAAGCAAGTGCAGAAAGAGATTGAATTTGAGGGTGAGAAATGTGCCGTGCCTGTGACTCGACCACCAGTGCAGAAACCCACGCTAGTTAAGAAGGTTGTGGCTGCGTCAGTGGCGGTGGCGGTGGCCGGATCTGTCGCTGGAGCAGCGTCTCACGTTGCTACACATGGAGGTTCTGCTGTTGCAACATCGCTGACAGTGTTGCAGCATTCTGGCCCACCTTATCTACCTGGTTCGAGCTTGTTGGGTAAAATTATACAGCATTTGGGGGGTGGGGGTGTGGCTGGTGCGGTGGGGGCAACGGTCGTTTATCCCTTGGATACCATTAAGACTCGAATGCAAGCTCAGAGCACGGTATTTGCCTCATTGCACATTAATATACACCAGGCTAGTTTGTTTTATTTTTCATCAGTGAATTTTGTATATGCTTTGTGGTGCATCTAAGCCATCCATTAATCTGCCTTCTCCTATACAAATTAAGGCATTCTAGAAATATTATATCTTGGAATCATGCTCTAGAATATTTACCAAGGATCTTGCGTTTGACAGGAAGAAGGCGTGGAACCTCTGTACAAGGACGAGATTGACTGCTTAAAGCAGCTCGTTGTAAAGGAAGGACCAGCATCTCTTTACAGCGGTCTGGTGCCACAGCTCATAGGCATAGCGCCAGAGAAGGTAGTAAGAGTTCCACGGATCTGTACATCTTGTCATTCTCTTAGACCTCTTTACTGTGCATGTCTCTGTCAGTTGTGCGATTTTGTGCGCAAACACTGCTATTACAAATAGGTAACTATGAAGGTGGAAGCTTCTAACGTACATGTATATTCCAGCTCCTAAAACCTCTCGGAAAGCTGCTAGCTTTTAGAGCCTCTTAAGTGTTCAAATTACTAATGTTGATGCATACATCTGGCTTTTCTTGCTGAACTTTTCTCTCGGACGATCTGTTAGGCCATGAAGTTAACAGTCAACGAAGCCTTGTTGAGCAGTCTTGAAGCGATGATGCCTGGTGCGCGGGTGTGGGCACTAGAATTCATTGCTGGGGGAGGTGGAGGTGCTTCCCAGGTATCTGAGCTTAATCTTATAAACTCTTTCACTACAATTGTTACTGGAAATCAGCGGCTTTGTCATTCATATGTATGAACGTAGTGGAAGTTTCTCCTCGTAAATGCCAAATACACGATACAGGAGTTAATGTATTTATGCTTTTTTGCTGGAATGTAGGTGGTGTTCACGAACCCAATGGAGATAGTGAAAGTTCGGCTGCAAACTCAGAAAGAGGGGCTCCCGAAGAAGGCCTTGTGGACGATTGTGAAAGAGCTTGGTGTTAAAGGTCTTTACGAAGGCGCGGGTGTTACCTTAGCCCGTGATGTTCCAAGCTCAGCAATCTTCTTCGCTTGTTACACGCTGTTACGTCAATACTATCCTGATCAGAGCTTCCTCGCTGGAGCTATTGCTTCCATACCTGCCACTATTGTAGTAACTCCTATGGACATCATCAAAACAAGGCTTCAGGTATGCTTTTGGAAAGGCACCCATTCATCTGACTAAAGCTTTGGCATCAGATTCGATTCTTTAACCTTTCATTAGGGATATCCAAAGCTGAGACATTAATTATCCACGGCTTTTTAGCTTCAGATATCATTCACATTTAGTAGAGTTCTCCTACTGTGAGGTCGGATTGTTTTCTTTGATGACTTACGAATATGTGCTTTGTAACTTTTTTCAGAAAGAACCTGCACCAGGAGAGCTAAAATATACCGACTGGTGGGAATGCTTGCAAGACATTGTAAACAATGAAGGACCGCAGGCTCTGTTCAAAGGCAGCCTCCTCCGTGTTCTACGAACAAGCCCACAGTTCGGCATTACACTGATGCTTTATGGGATGATATGCGAAGGTTCGTAAACCCATGATTTCATGCTGATTGTTGTTCCCATTCATTCACAGTCTAGCACATGTATTATCTCGAGAATTATAGTTCATATGAGCACTTCAGACGCCTACAATCGACTGCATTTGGCGAGCATACATAGAGGCGGTATTGACTAGCGGCCTGTGTGCCACTGGGAAAGACTCCTCAAAGTGCAGTCAAAAAATCTTCCAAAAACAGGGAAGCAACTTTTTTTTTTTTTTTTTTTTTTTTTTTTTTTCCATTATTGACCTTTACTGTAGTATAAGGATCCAATTTTGTTGTATATTATTTTTCCTCGATGAAAATCAGCCATTACTTTACTTGCTGGTGGTTCATTCTCGGATCTAGTGTTTTCAATGTCTCGCTCTTGCCTATTTCTGTTGTACAAAAAAACTTGCTATCTATTTTGTTTTGATTTCGGGACATGCTACATCACCAGAAAGCTTTGGACGAGATTTGTTGACAGAAATACATCAAATTCAAAAAGGTTATTGCAAATACTCAGACATTCCAGCTCAAATTTTGCGTCGGTACTATCGGATTTACCAACATGATTCCTGTTATTTTAGGCAACAGGGTTTCATAAATGTGGTATCCTATATTGAAAAGCTTTCAACACTGAAGACCAAACCACAGAACTTAATCACTGACCTCTAGAAGTGGTCATTTCCAATGGTTGGATCTTTAACTGAAAGCTGCCCTAGCTTGGGGATCTACTTGCTGAAACCCCCTTACCTTGAAAAGGAAGCTTAGTAACCATTTTTTATGTATCCTAGACCCCAAAATCCACACACCAGAAACTTGTAGTTTGCAGTCCTTGGCAATTTGTAATAGGATTGAATCTGCCCATGAAACAAATTTTCACTGAAATGTCCTCACTTCGCTACCAATCTAATTAATCAACAGGCCACGTAATGAAAACATGCTGAAAGGAGTAATCTCGGATATGCTCTGTGGATGTACATGGACCTTTGCTAATTCGAAATCTATGTGAGGTGGACACTTTGAAGGTACTCCCGCCTCTTCAGCAAATTTCTAACACTGGTTACGAGTTAGCCCTATTCAGCATGTCGCCCTCGACCTGCGCGTCCAAGAGGATCATCTTTCATTTCTCACCAAACATTGTGAGCAGGGAGCAAAACTCAGTCACTGAAAACGTACCTAATCTGAGTTTATCTGGTGCAGTCATATTGAGCGATTTCTACTTTAGCCACCTATTTCCTCGACTCGATAGTAGGGTTATCGCCGCCTCGTGCAATGCTACGTCGAGGGAGTAGTTGTCACGAGGATGGGTCCATCATCTTCATAGCTTGAGCAGGCACAGCTGACTAGGTGCATGTTGTCGCCAACTTAAACTCAATATTGATTGCTGAGCCGGCAAAATGCCACAGATTCATGACTCCTCAAATCGTTCAGGACGGGGGGGGGGTGTCACATGTGCTCGAGCTAGTGCACGATGTTGTCAAGCTGCTTCTCAAGCCAGTTTCCAATCCAAACTAGGGCCACAAACACCTGCGCTACTTGTTCACCACCATCTCTCACATGCTTCCTGTTTTCCACACTCTGCAGTAACAAACCACCTGCTGCCCATCTGCTCGTCACAAAACAAAACATCACTGGATGTTGAATTCGGCTGATATCATCAGCTCAAAAACCCACAACAAAAGTGATAACAACCCACTTTTCACTCCATACAATTAGGCTGACCAAACTCGCAGTACTGTGAGAACAGATTGGCTGTTTGTGTAGTTGTCATAGTGTTGGCCAATGAAGAATAGAAAGTGGGATAGTGTTGGTATGTGTGTGTTTTTTGACAGTGTGGATGCATCCGAAAAGGAGGGACAAGGTAGATCCTGGTGGGAGTCTACTGGAGCTAAGTACCCAGTATTCTGGCTTGTTGGATCAGCTCAATTGTTGGCACAAGATTTGAAGACCAAGGAGAAGGGAATAGGAAATACATGTCAACTCTCTGATGCATTCCCTTGGAAACCCTGTCACTTCTCTGGAATCATTCCTTGGGGTGCTGCATGGAATTATTCTCCCTTCGAGCATTGCTCAAACTGGAAAAAAAAATGTTGTGTTATTTACATGTGGGTTTGTGCATGTACTGATTATAAAGTTTGGTCTTATTAATCCTCAACTTCTTCGTTGGAAGGTTTTTGGTCTATTTGAAAACTTGTAATGAAATGTTGTATTTTAAAACAAGTAAGACTACAGTTGTATTAATGAATCCATCTTGTGTGAAGTTGGATATCTTTGTACATTTTGAGAAGTTTCACAAAATTTCATTTTATTTATTTGTTTTAAATGCACCAAGTTAATTATTTACATTTATGGGGAAAAGAGAAAAATGAAATACAATAGTAATTATAAATATTTCAAGTCCTGTCCTTTCTATTATTGTTGATTGTTCAGGAATTTGGTATAACTGTAAGTGATGTTTGATTGATATAAGCAATAGTTCTCTTAACAACAATATGCCATTATATATATATATATATATATATATATATTTTTTGAAATAAATAAAATCATGTTCATAAAATTATAATCTACTGTGAATATGTACAAATTGAAACCAGTGGTATTTTATTTTTATTTTATTTTATTTTCTTACCAAAGTACAACTTCAAATAGATACGAAGTGAAAATAAACTTTTACAATCACATGTTGCACTAAATTTGAGATAAAAAAAGTAAGAGTTCTCCTCCTTCCTTCCCAACAACCAGATCTGAACTCCAGTGTAAATAAAGATTTGGTTTTCATACCCATTACATCAAACAAACAAATGTTCTGGAAGCCACACAAAGTAGAGGCCCCACACATCCACACACACACACACACACATATATATATATATATATATATATATCTCTTCAACAAGATTAAATTTTTCAAAAAATAGAAATCCTATTTTCAAATGAAATGGCTCATGTTCAGGAAGTTGACCTCAAGCCTTGGTGGGGGTGATGGCAACAGACACAATTAGGGTTTTGGCAAGCCACCCACAATCCAGAGTGAAGTTAGCAAGGCTTGCATGATGATCATCTGCTTTGCAAACACTTACATTTCCACTCCTTCCTTTTCGATTACATACGTACATACTTACAGCTAAACATGCACATGTGTAAAACTTGGGTCTCATTTGTTGGTTGTGTTGCAGAGGATTCTTGGGAGACCATCCTCTCTCTCAATCCATTCCATTTTGAGAAAATGGACGACAATTCACTTCATCTGCAAGACAGATGCATGAAGAGTGTAACTCTTCACAACTTTTGACCACCACCATGTCACTTTCTTTCTTCATCTTCATATTGGAATTTAAAAAAAATAAAAAATAAGTGAAGAAGAGAGAAAGACATGGGACTATATGTGTTTGTGGGAGGGTGAGGATCAGGTAAGGGAGTGTTTTGCCATAGCTTGAGTATGCTAAAACATTCTTACAGAGAAATGTGAAATAAATAAATAATTAAATAAATATGACCAGTAGGAGTTTGACCTAACTTACCTTTGCATACAGAAGCAAGGGAACTGAATACATATGCTTCACCAACTTTGCAGCAGAAGTAAAGAAAGTGTTAAGGATGGATGTATACATACACTCAAAAATAAATAAATAAATAAATAAACAAAGCACAAATAGTAGAGAAAGTACAGTAGTTGAAGCAACCAGAAAAAAGCCATAAAAATTCATTTATCACCTAAGGAATGACGATATGAACTTGAGGCTAGTCCTTGAAGATAAAATTATGATTATGATTATTATTCTAGATTCATTCATGCATTCATTCATTCATACACACATACAATAAGTAGGCAAATATAGTGATTGACCTAGGAATGCAGCCCTTCAACAAAGAAATGAATGATGTGAGTGTAAGACTTTGATGCACATTCATCCTTTCCATGGGGTGACGTAAGAAGACAAGCAAGCGAGTTAAAGCAAGAGAGAGCGAGAGCAAGTGTGAGAGAGAGTGAGAGCGAGTGTGAGAGAGAGCAAGCAATAGGGATGGATCTATCACATCTGCCAATCATCGAACCTTGCATCACATCGCAACATTCTTTGCATGATATGAAGAATCTGAGCGACATGACTCATCTGCGTCCAGGTCCTTGTTGTTGTCCCTCCATCGCATATGAATTGGAAGCCACCATCATGGCCTTTGCGCATTCAACCTCCTTGTTAAGGTGGGTGGTTTTCTAATAGCCTCAAAGGCCATGAAGGCTCGCTCCAATCCTTCCATGGCACTCATCCCTCCCCTATGAGGGGCGCACAAGAGCCCCTTGATTTCACTTGACAGAAGGGTCTGATTACTTCACTGCAACATCAATGCATTTTTGTATTGGTGATTTGATACTTCATGCACAATTTGATAGCTCTCCTTCCTCTTTACATTCTTGTGATATCTCTTTTTCTTTTCCATGGTACTGTCCACCACCTCTTGGGCCAATGTGTGCATGAGATGATGGAGTTGGGTGATGAGTTCGTTTGTTTGTTTTTTTGTTTGTTATTTTGGTTTGGTTCACAAAAGGATGCCATTTTGCAGTTCAACTCTGAGTTGTAATTTTTCACTCTTACTCTATCCTTGGCTCTTGAAGTCATTTGTTGGTTTGTCCATTAAACTAATATTGAACATCTCAGTAATGAACATTTGATTGCATATCAATTTAGTGTCATCATAATTGATCAGAAGAGTTGTGTTCATTTGCAAATGCATTATATATATATATATATATATATGTTTTTTCTATGATATATTTCAATAATTTTTTAATGGTAAACATTGAGATCATGTGCAATAATCAGTTGTTTGATAGGACATCCTTACAATTCTCTCATAGTGGACAATCCACACAATGAACATTACCAAGTACATTCATCCATTTGGATCATGAGCAGCTTGTTGTTACCCAAGGTACAGGAAGAAATTATTACACATTTAAAAATAAATAAATTAACACACTACATTTGTGACTAGGATTTGTGATCTGAGATTTAGATTAAAACGGTTAAAATTATGGGGGATTAGGGTTTAAGTCAATGAATCAAAAAATTGAGGGAGTGAGGCAATTGCTGCCAACCCATTTGCCTTGAATGAACGTTTGATATCGTCTATCCAAAAAGGACATCCCATCCTACAGAAAGCACATCAGAAGGGCCGCCCATAAACTAAGGCTCCAGAGAGACGCTGAAGCTTGTGAGGAAACTTTTAAGTTCGAAAGCGACTTTATCAAGCGCCGTCGCCGTCTTCTTCGTCGTCGACGGCGCATCCTGGTCAGCGACTCCATGCTCGCCGCCCGTTGAAGAGATGGGCAGCCATGGCCAGGCCACAGTGGAGGGGGCCACTGCCACGGGCGACGACGCCAGGGCCCAACCTCACCTCCACTCACGTTACTTCACCCGGCGCTAAAATCTAGCTGCCTGCGGTAATTACTGGTCCTGGCGCCGCTTCTGTCTGGAAACATCTGCAGGAAGAGGAGCAAGGAGTAGAAGGAGCGAGGAGGAGGAATAGTGGACGTCGTCATGGGATCGCCGTGCCCTGGATTCGCGTAATTGTCTTATGCTCTTGTCCCATGGACTATATCTATGGATCGCCATTGTCAGGTCCCCTGCTAAGTTGTGTGTGTGTCCATGTCGGCAGTCGCTCTGAAGAGTCATAAGACTGCGCGACGGTCGGCTGTCTGAGAACTGGGCGTTGTACTTACTGCACCGATTGGAGTATGGAGTAGGTGCAATTGTTGCGCCTGTTGTTGCGATGTTCAAGAGTTCCATGCGTTGTAGTTACGGTACCCCACTGTTGTCGAGTTTTTACGGTGGTTGATGGTTGTCTAGCGGGGGATTTGTCGCAGTTTCCGATCGCTGAGCAGGAACCGATTGTTTGTGTCGTCCGTGTTCTCGTGTGTCGACTTCTACAGAGCATAAGTCCACAGAGCTTGCCGTATTGGCAGCTGTCGCGGAGTTTGAGTGGCTCGAAGCACGGAGAAAGCCTATGCTCGGATATTGTCTTGTGTTGCGAGCTCACTTGCAAGCAGCCAGCTGAATAATTTATATATATATCAGCCAGTTGTTTTACATCGAAGGCCTACGCACTAAAAGCTCTGCACCACACCCACAATTCTCTTTCTTGAGGATCAGGTGGATCAGTGGCTAACAACATGATCGCCTATTACGTATCTGGCATGGTTTGCTGTGAGCTGAGTATCGTGGCGTACTGAGTTATGACGTTTGTGCAGTTCAATTGCTACGGTTTTGCCACTGTCTACCAGAAATGGAATAAATTAATTGTCAGTGGTATCTAGTAAGCTCTGTCGGAGTTGCGAAATCCTTCTCAGGATACAAACATTTATATACATACATAAACACACACACAAAATAGTCACACACGACTCAACGAGTCTTGAAAATAGTTCAAGTGACGGTTTTACAATGGCCAGATGGCTGGTTGCAAGTGCACATGGAGTGGTATCCGCTCAGAGTTTCCAAGTTGCAGCCTTGCTCTCCATGGTCGTCGTCTTCTTAGTCTGCGTGACAACGCTGGTGGGCTTGTGCGCCGCTCACAGCAACCCCAAAGTGCTCAACCGAGAATCCGAGCCTGAAGGCGAACTGGTGGCCGAGATCAAAAAGGAAAGCCAGCGCTTCAGCCCCTCCGACTTGAAGTCCAAACTCGGCTCCTTCAGAATATCGTCCTTCCGAAACCCATCTAGTTTCTCAAATTCCAGCTCTTTTCGAATTGACTGCAAATCTCAGGTAACCATTCAATCCAAACTTCACGCCTCTTATCGCTGAAAGCTTGTCACATCATGTTCTGACATAAAACCATGCTGTAGAGTTTCAGGCTTCTGTTTTGTTTTGGTAAGTTTCTTAAAACTGTTTTTGGTTAATTGTCATTGGAAAGTCCCTGAAGCTACCAGTTCAACACATCCTTCTCACATCCTGTCCTCGGCATTTTGTATCCGGATCAGGTGGACGTAGTGGACGCTCTCCGGAAAGGCTGTCAAGCGGAGGAAGATCCGAACGCAGAACCCGCGGTTTGGCAAAGATCAATTATGCGCGGTGAACGTTGCGCCCCTCTCTCATTCTCCGGGCTCATTCTGTACGACGAGAAGGGCAATCCTTTGAACCCAGAAGTGGTGCACAACAATCCGCGTTCGATGGCTTCGTGTTAACAATGCCTTCATGTTTTGCATCTGGGTTCTGCATCAAATCAGACGATTTCGCGGCGCTCTGTGCAAATCCCAGAATTCCAACAAGTCTTCGTAACTAAGGCGACGCATATCGACTTATCGCATTTGAGCTTGTAAAATAGGGGTTATGGAGCAACTCAGTTTTGTTGCACACAAACCATTTCTCCGAGAACGCGACTGAATCCAACGGAAACCAACCATGTAGTTGCAAACACGATGCTCAATGGTTGTATTTCTTATTACTCGTGAAAATCGGTGGAGTTAGGGTCTTTTTTATTCAGGAGGATAAGAAGCAAAAACGGCGATCAATAATCGGGGTTGTATGCTGCAAAATAACTGAATGTCAGAATCTATAGATTTCTCACTCAGGGTTTATAGCGCAGTGCCACACAGATGTGGAGGCAGTGACGTTATCCATGAGTATAAATGCTGGATTATGCTTAGCACAGTCCATTATCAAGTCTAGATTTTTGCGTGTGGAACAACGAGGAGAGTGATAAGAAACTTTGGAGCTCAGAGCAGCTCAGGTTTTGTTCACATTCGCGGCATTAGTAGCGGACAAAATTGAACTATTTGTGGATTCGAAACTGCAGTGCAGCAGTTCTGCAATGAAAAATAAATACGCGCTCCGTGTCAAAGAAATTTACAGAGAAGAGAAAGGTGAACATCATTCTCGTCTCATTAACAATGCTTCTACTTCATGGGTCAGAAACTGGCTATCATCTTCTTCTTCTGCTGTGGATTTGCATTCCTCGTTCTTAGCTTTGTGTTTGATGCTCTCGAGAGATGCCTGTAACATTACAGCATTGTATTGTTGCTGCAACTTCTGCTGCTGCTGTTTTCTGGTATTCACGTGGAGCTAGAAAACTGGAACTGCCTACAGTCTTCTCAGCATATTTTGAGGAATCTAGCCCTTTGAATATGATTATGTGTGCGGTACGGCAGAAAGCGATAGGGGACAAAACTTACATTGAAGTGGGACACTGCAATCGGAGTCCCACCTTCATATTTGCATCAGTTTCTTCCCTTCGTGTAAACTCTTTATTTAGAATTCTTTTAGTATTCAATATCTTATTTTTCTATTCTGTTCCTTGTCAACGACGTATTTCAAATTATAATACTTGGAGGTTTAAATGTACGTAGTGTCTACATAAGTGATATACACTGTGTATCAAATGCTGAAAAGACTGTGATTTCACTGGAATGTTGAAGAATCTTAGTCCTGTGTTGGAGATATAGCTGGCAGTCCAAACAGTGTAATTAAATACATATTAAATATATTTCAAGTAACCTTTTCTTTTATGATGGATCTGAAATGCTTGAATAGGTTGAAATTTCAAAACTTTGCAAAAGTTGTAAAGTTTAAACCTTTGATTAATGAGTTATTTTTAATTAAAAAGCCCAACTTGACGTATTCTATTGGTTGAGAGAATTCATACAATTGTACTGAGGAAAACTGTATTGTAGCGAATTCATTTAACATACCACAATGATACCCACCAAAATTAAAAAAAATGATCCCCACCTCACCTTCCAAGCCATGAATGAAGGGAGATGTTACATTCTGCACTGCTCAATAATGTTTCGATGTATCCTCTCCATAAAAAGTCTTATGCTACTGCTCCAGGAACTGATCAAACGTCTGCTTTAGCTTTATCTCCATGCAGAAACTTTTCCATGAAACTTGTGGCAAAGCGGCTGAAACGCAGCATGTTGCGCCATGAACCAACAAAGTTTATCAATGCAGCTCATACGCACATCTCGCTCACCGACCTCGAGATGAGCTAGGCTATCCAAGTTCACAACTCATTTGCTCTTTTTTGCCCTGTCCATGTTTCGACCACACACACGTTCGTGCACAAATCTTGATGCAAAGGTTTCTCTTTCTCTCGGTTGTGGGGCACATACTGCTCTTCTCCCTGCCATGTCTTCTTCCAACCCCACAGAACACATCTCTTACGCTGCTGCTGATGTAGCGATAGAAGGTTGTGACGTTGGTACCTGATTTTAAGACGAGCCTGATCCACCCCCGGAAATAATTAGGACATTGTGGTGAAATATAGGCTCACGATTGTTTATCAATGTTACCATATCCTTGAGCGTCACACCACACCTGGACAAATACAGCTGCCAAACAGAGCTTTTCAGCCTGTTAAATTGCAACCTAGGGTGCCATATCCAGACCTAAACAAAACTCCGTCTTTTTCAAGATTATCGAAGACCACGGGTTTACCTTCAATCTTATGTTTCAGTGTTATCGGTGAGCTCTAACCTATGGCTCTATCTACCCACTACCCACTTCCCCCACTCAAGGCGCATCCAAGTCAAGCTTATTTGATTTACAAAGTTTTTTTTCACTATGTCATGCCAATGATCCCACCTGGAGTAAAGTATTGAAATGTTACAGCGGATGTGGTAGAGAGTAAGGACTCCACAGCACGAATCTTCTTAGATTTTTTAATTTCCTGATTTGTTTGAGTTGATGGCACCTTCTCGCTTGACACTATCGTCAACCTTCAAAAGGATTGGAAATTGTAAATTATTGATCCTTTGGTCTTTTCCTAAAGCGCTTTTGGCAGCTTTCCAATGGACTATGTCATCTCGATCTTGCTGCCGAAACAGTAAATTCACAGTTTAATACTTCATTCATCACCGACGTACGCAGCAAGCCTCAAGAGTATTGGTGCCTCTCCGTGTGCATTTAAAGCATTGCCCTTCATCATTGTGTCGAGTCCATGTGAAACTAGGAGCTCGGCGAAATCCTTGGCAGAATACAAAACTTAAGAATCTTTAGTCACCCAACTCTAGAACCGCTCACGCGTTAGTTTACTCGAAGATTCTATCTGATGGCTCATCGTCAGCATTATAGAACACGGTGGGTCCATATCATAGATATAACATTTGAAGGAAAATCAAAGTAAGGAATCCAACCTAAATTAACATTGAGGCGTATTAATGAGGAGTGTCACAAGACACAGGAAACCAGATATTATAAAAGTATAAGGAAATTGACCGTTAATAATGAGCAGCGCGGACAGAATAGGACAACCACGTCAGTCAGTTGATTTTCTGATCTAGAGCGACTGCGATGTGAGTATCGTTATCTCACTATGTCCATTGATGCCTAAGATTGTTATCAGCTTCAAATATCGTAGACTCAAATTGGGCATTGGTCTGCGCAGCAATTCTAAACGATGATCCTGCCGTACAATGGATTGAGTGACCTGCTAGTGCAGCACATGTGCCATTCTTCACTAGAAAAATGCTAAAGAAAATTCGAACAGAGTACAGAACGAAATGGTGGACTCAGAAGGCAAATTTGAATCCTCCAGTTATTGAATCAGCAGCATTGACTCATATTCAAATATTGGCCTTTTAGAGGGCGTCTTCCCGCTCTTCTGTTATCTTCTTCATAACCCATTTTGACCTGGGGTTTAGAGAATCAAAACTGGGTCAGAATTTTTCGTGCAAGTCGATTCGATCTTTTACTCCAGATAACAAGTGCTGGGAATTTGGTCTGCTCAGAAACTCCAGCACAGTACTCATGTTGCTCCTGTAACACGACCATATACCCAGGTGAGAAATAGTGATGGAAGAGTATAATCTGCTGCAGCAATTTTGGCATAAAGGCTGAGCAGAAAAAGCTCAAAAAGCTATTAAAAATTTGGATAAAAATCCAAAGAAGGATCTAACATACAGATACTTGCATACGATATCAGCTTCAAGATCGGATGATGTCCTTGAGGCCTAATTCCACATGCTTCTGTCCAGGTTGGGAGTTAGAAAGTGCAAACAAGGGTATGCACCTGATAACACCTTATTTCTGCTTGGAAAATTTTGGGTGAGAGCATCGGATCCCTCCAGATTAATCAGAATGTGCTACCATCCACGTAGCGCAGACACGAATTCTCCTTTTTCGGCATGTACACTTCACAGATCTTTCCACCCACTGCTTGGTCTCGCTACGGAAGTTCATAAACCCTTCTGTCGTGGATTGGTTAGGTGCCATAGCGCATTGACACTGTTCAAATTCAAATATGACCCCCACCTTACCTTTTATGTCATGAATGAAGAGAGATGTTAGACTCTCCACTGCTCAGTAATGTTGCGAGTTATACCCTCCATAACAAGTACAGAGGACGCTCCTCTTCCACAGCATCTGCTTACTTACAGAAATAACTAAATTTGAGGTGGATAGAACCAGCAGCAAAATCGATATCTCCAGAGTGCTTTAAAAGGTACATGTAGTCCCACTCTGTCAATGCTGGCAAGGATTCCATTACATCACGAAGGAGAACAACCTTGTTCCGCTGCTCAAAATACCTTATAAATTCATCGGAAGACAGATTCTCACGCATCTCAATGTTAACAACCCAGGCTTAATCTTGAGACATGCACACAGCCAGTTCTGGAAGAGGTAGTCCGAGTAGAAGTCAATCACATGCTGAACAATATAGACATAGTGAACAGAACGAAGTAAGAATTTAATGTGACAGGAGTACCTGAGGAGAACAAATATCGTAATGCAAAATTGCAAATTCTAAAGAAATCTTACACATCGGCTCTGCTTCCGTTACGTTACTCATCTTAAGTCGTATCGGTGGCGTAACCAATGTGGGAAAAGGATCCAGACGTGCTAAGTAACGCCAATCCAAGTTGTTCATAAAATCATAAATTGTGTTGGTCAGTACATGCAATGCTCCAGGTCCCACATCCCTCACGCAACAACTGGAAGTGCTTAGAAGAAGAATTCCTAATGATTGAATGCAATAGCTGTGGGAATTCCTTTGAAGACCATGGTGATCATTCTGATCTTCACCCTCATCATCTCTGCAATTCATTTCCACTTTAGCCCGTTGACCATTAGATCAAGAACTTTTCTTAGATGCCCTACCTTGCTTGCTCTTCCGCTTCGGTTCTTATTCACCCAGATCTTGAATACGGTCACATTCGACATCTGGATAACTTATCTCAACTACTGAGTGAAGAAACCATACACGAAGAAGACCATAATCGTGAGATACACCAAATGGTGAATAGACGAGGTGCTTTTTCAAGTAGATTGAATTAGAACCTTCGTTAAAACCCTAAATTCCAAACGGTACACTTATTATGCTCTGAAACCTAGCTCAGGCTGCTGCAAAACTTACTATGCCGCAGCGCACAGATAACGTAGCCTGGCGATCAAACACGAGCACAAACCTTCAAATTCCTGTTCGTAGACTCTAGTTACTGTACACAACACTCTCCACAAAAAATCTGGACAAGCACAAAATAGTACAAGATGTTGGAAGTTAATGGCAAATAGCAACCCAACCGCTGCAACAACTACGTGCAGTCTCCAATTGAAATGTTGTTCAGAAATGTGCTTTCAAAATATGCTGCTTCACTTTGAAATTGACTGCAGCTTGAGTCCCTGGCATAGATGCGGGACAATCAGCTGCACTCTCTGCACTCTTAGCTCATGTGAAACTCATCGGCAGAGCCACACTATCTCTGCAAAGCCAACTAGCAAAGCAGAGCAATTAAGACAGATCACGTATTCGTCGTGAAAATATACTCCCACGAGAATCTCCAAACCCTAAACTAGGATGTGTGTTGGGCTCATGATACAACCCAACATGGCCAAAGAGTAGGTACTTCTAGTCCAATGAGTGTCCGAGCATTGAGCTGAAACAAGCGCCATGTGACAAACAATGGAACGAAGAAGAGAGGTTTTTCATCCAGAAACCCAACTTGTGGCTGTTGCTGTCTAGCGTGGGACCACTCCGCCAGCGCCACGGACCGCGATTGAATGTGAAGATTTCGACCACACCAGCTCCGCCAATCCAAGAGCAACCGACTTCACCTCAATCTCATGAACTTCTTTCCCCTCTTCCTAAAATCATGACCTACGAGATTGCTCTGATGTTCTCTTAGTAGTATACCGTAGCTTTCCTGGGACTCGGCCACGTAGTGCTCTTTGTTGTCCCCACTGTTGTAGATTCTTGAGTGGTCCTTGGAGCTCCGTAGTTCCAAAGTTTTTGAAGCAGGTGGTTGTTTATTCAGCAATTGGGGGGTTTTGGGAGAGTTTATAGCGCCGAGGGATTTCTGTGTATTGATAAGAAAGACGGGGGGTTTTTTTTTTGAATTTTTTGTAAGAGGATTGATTTTCTCATGTTTTGTTGAGGTATTTGGGGCTCGTCCATGTGTTTTGGGGTTGGTTTTGGGAGCCATGATTGTGGCTCGATAGTTGAGCGTCGAAGAGGAATTTGTTTCGCAGCAGTGCGGTGAGGTGGTGAGGTCGGTGCGGCGGTGGTGGAACCATGGCTGCATCCATAACGCCCGGGAGTAACCCCAGCGTTGCTATGAATTGTGTTGCGAGTGGTGCGAAAGGATGCGCTGATGTAGAGGTAGGGTTTCCTCGCCTGTATGCTAGGGCGCAGGGTTTGATGAAAGTACGTGGAGGCAGTTCTTGCCTTGGCTGGAGCTCCAGAGGCAATAGCTTCATTGGCGGGCAGGTCGTGTCCATGCTCAAACAAGGTATTTAAATCGACTCTCTGCTTCTGAGATTCCTCTTGGTTGCCGAAATTCTACACAGCACTTTGACCGGCAGGCTGTGCGCGTGTGTGTGAGCGGTATAAAAATGAGATATCAAATTGATACAGTGTATTTTTTATGAGAGATCATGGATTAATCTAGTACATCAGTATTCAATGTCTAAACGACTAGATTGTGGGAATGATGAACTATTTACCTGTTAGATTGAATCATAGATCTTAAATGTTAATAGTTTTTAAAATAGTTGTATTTTTCAAGGTTTTTGTAAGAGTTATTGTTCTTGATGTTAATAATATTGATGAACAGAGAAGTTTGAGGAGTCATACTGATCAATGCATGCCTGAATCTGGTCAAATTGGGATTAGAATGACAATATTTTGTTTAGCAGGTGCGGGAAGTCGGAATCGTATGAGTAAGGCAGGCAACACGCAGGCGATTCTGAAAACAAATTCTAAAGAGACACCTCTCATTTCTGTCGAAATCCAAAGGAATTATGACAGTCCATTTGAAACTGTGGACAAGGCGTGGCTGCTGGACCGGGAGCCTAACCTCGATGAACTTCGCAGAGATGTGATGGATTCTGGCATGGTTGAACCCATACTCGAAGAGAATGCTGGAGGAAAAGTCCATTCAGAAGTTACACTTGCAACGGAAAAGGACATAGAAATGGCCATGGCAAAGACAGCGGGTATCCTACGTGATGGGAAGAGTTCGCTTGGAACAAAAGGGGTTGACAAAGATGAATTTCAGTCGTCGAATTTCGAAGATTGCTCTGCACGAACTGATGATGACATTTTGGAGGAAGCAGTAGCTGAGGCGGCCAAAGTTCTACATGAAAAGCGCAGAACATTCGGGCGAAAACTAGTTCACAATGAAGTTGAGATGGAGGTACAGGATGCCCTAATGGAAACCGTGCAGGTGTTACGGAGTGGACAGTCTTCGTTTCTTCGAAAGTCACCTTCTAATGCACAGAAGCGTAAACAGTTCTGGGACAAGCTCAAGAATTCTGATTTTGGAAAAACCTTGGAGAAGGATGGAACCGCGATCAAGTCTTGGCTTCAAGCTGTCACATCTAAAAGGACTGCTACACCTCACAAAAAAGGTGTGGCTAACATAGTAGCAAACGATATTGACTTCATCAAGAGCAAATCTACTCGCGTGAGGCCTTCACTGAGAAAGAAAATTGGAGAAATTGTTGCTCTAAAGATTATCGAAGACGAGAATAGTGTGCCGGCTGGCCCTGCATTTTGGCCGGAGCCCTACTATCCTGGTAAACCTTAATCACGAACACCCATATGTATGTAATGTTATTCTTAATTGCAATTGGTTTAGTAAGAAAATTAGATAATGTCCACTTAGAATCCGTTTCACTTTTTGCAGAGTTGCGAGGTAAAGATCTCTTGGATGCTGACTTGAGAACTCTGGAGAGTTACTCGAGCTTTGTACAAGGTGTATTTCAAAGTTTCAAAGTACCCCTTCAAAACGAGTATGATCCTGATCAAGTTGCAGCCTACTTCCATCGTCGACCGCATGTTCTCCTCCTCCGTTTTCTGGAGGTACATTACTTCACCTGTATAGTAAACTATGGAGAGTAATTGGTCTTGTTTGATCAATCGTCTCTAGTGTGCATGTTTTCTATGACGGTCTTACCTTTTGCATCTTCCTCTACATCAGGACTTACGCTGGATTTTTCATGAAGAAGAAAAGCGATATTGATGAATTATTCTGTTGCTAGGTTGGTGCTGCATTTGGGTCAGTAGCATTGGAACGCAACATGCGAATGGCGGCATTGAAGAGGAACAAAATGGGCGAAATTTCGGAGGCAGATAAGCTCAAAGTCACGTTACAGACAGCTGAGTCTTTGAAGAAAACTCTGCTTGGGCTGGGCACCACTTTCATCAAAGGTTTTCCTTGTCTCCATTCCCCTCTTCTTTTGCTGTGAAGGTCTTCATCAAAAGAAATACTGTTCTTTAGTCAATGGGTTTTTTAAAATTCAGCTCCTAGAAATAAAATCTAACTAGTTTTATTTAATTCTTAATTAATTAAGTTTTTGGTGAGATTGAATCTTACAACATCATTTGAATTTGAATGCAGTTGCACAGTCACTCTCTTCCAGACCTGACTTGATTGGCGCAGAAACTGCCAAGGTAATATCTTGATCGGAATATTTCCTTAAATAATTTGAGTTTGTTATAGATCGGATTTTGACAAGATGAATGGATTTGAATTTCACACAACATTACAAACTAGCAGTAGCACAATCGCTCACAAGTTGCAGTTATTCCATCGTAGATTGTCAGCAGAAGAATCGCTATTATGTATGGTATAGTAAAGTGCATCCTTTCTTTGTAGGTTCTTTCCGAGCTCCAAGATCGTCTGCCTCCCTTCCCTAAAGATGAAGCTATAGAAATTATAGAGGAGGAGTTAGGATGTAAGGTATCAGAGGCATTCTCCTTCTTGTCGGATGAACCAGTCGCTGCAGCTTCGTTTGGCCAGGTATGGATCTATCTTTTGGACTAGGACTAGTATTTTAGTGAAATGTTATTTGCAGTCCAACTTAGCGGATGAGTTCTTGTTCTTCGGTAAGAGAATAATTGAATGTATGGCTATAACCTGCTGGGATCTTGTTTTGTACAGGTGTATCGAGGGCGCACTAAGTGTGGAGAAGATGTAGCGGTAAAGGTTCAGAGACGCAACTTACAATTTAATGTCGCACGAGACGTCTACATCCTTCGTATTGGGGTAAATACCTGAAGCTTTTAGGTGCAATTCATTTTTCATGATTGCTTTATTCATCAATTCCCGTGTTTTGGAAGAATACTGTGTGCATTCGGATGCTTAGAAGTCTCCTGCGATGCGTTTAGAATTAGATATGCCCAGTTGAATGTTTTAATAGCTATGTTAGCAGAGCTTTTGCCGATTTAATTGTCTTAACCCAAGGCAGGCGCGTTGAAATGCAGTTCATGATATTGGGGAAAGTTGCCAAGTTAAATAACAACTATACGATTTTAGCAGACGAGATTGGGCAAGGCTTGTACGGGGAACTAAATTACAGACAGGAAGCTGCAAACGCTGCCGAGTTTGCTATGGCTCATAAGCACATACCATGGTTATATGTTCCAAAGACTCTGCCGCATATGACTAAACGGAAGGTCTTAGTCATGGAGTGGTTGAACGGGGATCGCCCATTTGATTTGTTATGCATTTCCAAAGGATTGCCTAGCGCGGATGGAACCCTCCCTAGCCAGGATGTGCAGCAGGAAGCAAGGCGGCGACTTTTGAACATGGTTTGTACTCTTATCCTACCCGTTGCTAATTCTGTTCAAAGAGCAACTAGTTAGATTTTTGAAGTTTTTATTTCTTTGAAGAATATATATAAAAGGACCTTTATTATATTGAATCACAAGATAGTATTAAATTTTAAATTCCGAAACTCATAGAAGATATGCCTGGTTGATGTTCTCAGGTGAACAAAGGAACAGAGGCTGCTTTGACTCAGCTGTTAGAGACAGGAGTAATGCATGCTGATCCCCACCCAGGAAACATTCTGTTAGGCCGAGATGGGAAGTTGCAGTTTATTGACTTTGGGCTTATTACCCGTATGGACAAGATTCATCAGGGCGCGATGCTTGCTGCTATTGCTCACTTGGTTAATGGAGACTGGCAAAGCTTGACAGATGATTTGGCCGACATGGATGTCTTGAAGCCTAGAACGGATCGTTTCGCACTTCGACTGGTATGTCACAGTCATTGAGTTTTCGCTTTTGAAGTTACTACAATTATTTTGGGTGTTATTTGTCACAATTACTGTCGATGCTTGTGATTAGCTGTTTGAAATTTGTTCGATTACTGGAGGCCAACTGTTAGGAATATGTTCTCATTTACAGCTCAGCCCATCTCAGGCTTTCGTTCTTCATTTTTGTTTCGCCAACAAGTTAGCTTGTCATTTGTGATTGGACAGGCGCTGGAACGAGCATTCGGAGAGGGCTCCAACGCAATTGTAAAAGACGGCGTGCCGAATCCAAACTTTAGTTTCAACAAAGTAGTGAACGAGTTCTTTAAAATCGCATATAAGTTCCGTTTCCGGCTCCCTCCCTACTACATCCTAGTGCTCCGCTCACTCGCCTCATTGGAAGGATTTGGTCTAGCCGTAGATCCGAATTTTAAAACATTTGGAGCTGCTTACCCTTACGCAGTGCGGCGCATTCTCTTGCACTACAGCCCCATCACCCAGCGCGTATTGAGGTCTCTTCTGCTGACAGAGAAGCGCGAGTTCAAGTGGGACCGTATCTCATCGCTCATCGCTATTAGCCAGAAGTCAGCTGCGCAGCGTGCAGCTTTGGAGACGGTCACATTCATCTCAAATGAGCCTAAAGTTGAGCCTGTCAAGTCGGAGGCACCGGCGACCACAGACGCTTCCGAATTAAGTATTAGGATGTTTTCAGGGTTATTACTATCAAAAGAAGGTGTTGGAATTCGCCGTGTGATGTATGAGGCAGATGCTCGGGATTTGGCGTGCACACTTATCTCTGCTCGTGCCGCCAAAGTTCGGCGAACTGTTGCAGAGCGTCTTGGGGAGACCTTATTCAGCATATTGAAAGAGAGATGCAACGTTTTTAATGGCAAAACCAAGTTTGAGGCAGTTCCGCTATCGAAGACATTCGCGCATCGTATTACGAAGGATAGACGTTTACAGTTAATTTTGAAGTCGATGGTGGGACGGTTGCGGTCTCAGCCTATTTTATTGGCCAGAGTTGGTTGGGCCTCCTTTACAGTTGCATTATGGGCTATGGCTCTTGCCTTCCATGACCTCGCAATTTGTCTTTGTTACGAGTATCTCAAGAAAGCAGAAGCTGATGCCAAACGAAAAGCTCAGATCAGAACTACAAAAATGAAGACAGCAACTGCTGCAGTGTAATTTGGCTTTTTGTGAAGTCTACGCCCAAGCTAGAGGGTCGCAAAAGGACTCAGTTAAGCCACAAGTTGGAGAGGACCATTAACGATGAGTAGGATCTTTCAAAAATCGACTCCACGACCTGACTTGAGGAAATTGGCTGGAGCATCTGATGTAATATTGTTGGGGTTCTCTTCCAAGCTCAGTTGGCACTTTGTACAGCAGATATGGGTAACCCTGATCAATTCTTTCAAGAAAAGGTGTGAAATATCACTACCATCCATTTATTTCATTTGTAAACTCGTTGAATCCCTGAAAGTCTTGGTAAACTATTTCAAGTTGGGCACATTTGACGCATTTCCTAAGCTGACCCTCTCTGGTCAATATATTATGTTATTCCTTTTTGTAATTTATCACCAGGGACCTAGCTAACTGAGGGAACGGCTTGTTAGTCCAAACATTAGACAGCAGAATCTGACCATCTTGTCATCTGCACCCTATAGTGCATATTTTGAGTTAAATTTGCGTTTGGCTCGGCGGCCAGTAGAAAATCTTAATGAGCAGGGACACCCTTCGGTTAGTGAATAGATTCAAAATCGAATCTTTAGGAAAACACCGAGTGCATGCTTTCTTAATTTCCATTCGTAGTAACAGCTGTAGTAACCGAGACAATGCAGCCCGATTGTTAAGGAAAACCCAGGACCCTGTGTGGTTCTGTCTAAATTTCTTTTGCATTCCCATTAAGTCCTTACTGGGGCATTATCAAGTTCATAATGCGAAGTTATTTTGAAAGCTTTGAGTGATCGATAGACGCTCATTTTGCACATGCCAGTCCTCGCCCTTGAGATGTCTAGTTTGACTGATACTTTGGTGCTTGATGTTCTTGTTTTGTTGTGACACAGCTTTGTGAGCTTATTGAAACGTCTAACCAGCTATGGGTATTTCAATATAATATTTTTTATTAGAGTTATATTATCAGATTTACAATGGATTTGGTGACCTGCATAGAATAAAGAATTCAGTTACATTGTTTCTCCTTGTGGTAACAGAACTGGGATCTGAAATTCTCGCTGTGGAGTGAATATCGCAATGTGATATTACAGTTCGAAGGCAACTTCACCTCAGAAGATATTAACTCAAAGTATCAGTTAAATAGATTCCAAATTTTGAAAATTTCAACATGTAATTATTGATGGTTCTCTATCATGAACAGTTTGAGGTACTGCCTTCATTCGATTCTTACAGAAACTGTGCATGTTGTGGAATATCGGGTAACTTAATCCCATTAATTTGTTTGATATTGTTCAGAAGCCTTTGTGAACAACTAAATATAATATCTGCCGTCAACAAAACCACATCAAACTCTTCCTCTCTAAACAATTATACTTGTCAAGGTGCCCTCATATATAATAGCACAGCAACATTTATAACGTTAGAAAAAAGATAACCAGGTAGTTTTATAAAATGTAGCTTAAAGCTTATTTAGACAACGATAGCATGTTTACCACACCATACAATTCATATGTTTTTAGTATCTAACATGATTCATATGAGGGCTACATCTACTAAATACATCACATAATATTAGTCAACATATATAGCGCATGATTTTCTTTTTATTAATTGACATAATAAAGAAGGAATGTGCAACGCACGTTGTACTATAATTCACTCAAACACGGGTCACAGTGATAAACTCCGCTTCAGGAGCTGCTTGATAATACAATCAAAGACCTTACAAAGACACGGGGACATTGTCTGCATTGCAGGTTTGTGGAGGTCTGCTTCAAAGGTGCTGTCGAAGCTCCAGCCAAGCCCGGGAACAAAACAAGACAGGCACCAAAGTCGCAAGCACGAACTCATCGCGTGCCGATTCACAACGACAAAGTCCTCAGCTCTACACAACAAAATGAATGAGGCACTTCTTAAACATGCCAGTTAAAACCTGTGGAAGAGTGTATAGTTAGATCCTGCACTGCCCAAGAATCCTTCTACACATAAACCTTGGGATGTTCGGCACTCTTGGACTACTGTACTAAGAATCTACTCAGTTCGATTACAGGGATTTCAACGGTGTGTTTCGAAGCCGGATCCGGGACTGTGGTGGAGTTATCGAGCTCAGAGTTTGAGGATTGTGTAATCAAAGATGGTTATGTCACGTGGGTGATTTTTTCAACTGCAATAGACTTGCCAAGTCATTGCGTCCAGTTTTTATTTTACTACCTGTTGCTGGTTACTAAGATGTTAGTTTATCGATTACTTGCTTGGACCATTAGATCTGCAGAAATCTTAAACATCAAAACGTGCAATTACTGTTGCAGAAAATCGTGGTTGTCTGGTATTTTAGTGGGAGGTAAATCCAGATATTCGCTGCAAAGTAGTGGTGTAGTGAGGCTTGAGAACAAAATCTTCAATGCCTAATTCGTGGAGGGGGGGGGGTGGTTCCTGGAATGGAAGATCTTTGGATGTGATTTGTGCACACCGTGTGTATGAAAGAATGGCTTGACGCCGCCGCCGCTGCTTGTGAGCCTTGACGTGGAGAGGGAATTGCTTTAGTTCTTCCCCACAAGTCAACTTGTCTATTCTGCCTACGTTTTGTGACGTAGTAAACATAAACTCTTCCATTTTTATTATAAGTTTTTTTTCATTTTTAGTAATGATTTGCAAAATTTACCCTGGATGTTCATATGTCTACCAACTGACGATCGCAACAAGTCTTCGAAAGCATCACAGACTGATCGCCGATGAGCGCGTATCTCCGGCTACCTATTTATCTAGGTCCTCAGCCACAGAATGCGATAAACTACTGTAACCGGTGTGCAGTTTCAAACTGACCTGGTTGTAGTTGTCTCCCACATTCGTATCCTTTGCGGCGTTGCAGCTGCGCCGTTAGATTCCGGATGATTTCTAGCGGAGGCCCTGTAGGTGGACCGCATCGACAGCCAGTGGCCGGTCCCCGTGGTGGTCTAGCCAGGGATGGGATGCATGTCGAAGAAATTTTGCGTAACAGTTAAATTAAGTTTGGGTTGGCTTAGAATCAAGTGTTGCGGGAACCATGCGGAGTTCACTGGGGAATGAATTCATCCCTTGGTGACGAGATCCACCTATTCCCAGGGGTTGTCGATCCGGTCGCTAATGCGGATTTGATCCTCGGTGTTTGACGACTGATTTGAGGAGCTTACAGACAATCGGATGTCACCGCGACATCACCGATCTTTCTTAAACTGGCCAGTCCATGCAGATCACAGCTTATCAGCTGCCCACTCTTTCACCTCCGGAGGGTTACTCTATCGGCAACACTAGCTCGATATCACCGGTTTTAAAAACAAGGTGCTACAGATCTCCTGGACAAAATTTCAACTTTTGATCATCACCGCAATTAAAACTCTCCGAAAGCAAAGTCTTCCACTCCGCCCATGCCTGCCTCATTCAAAAGGAATTTTGTGATGTTCAGGCTCTTCCGGGCCTTTTCGAGTTACGTTCCTGCACAGTTGGGGCTAGGCTGGACCCACACTGCTAGGTGGAGCCGACCCTGCCATTTCTCGCGCCGTCATTTGCGGAGACCTACGCTGAAGAAAAATTGGCCGCCAACGACTATTTCACACGCTTACGCCTCTGTAGTAGACTCGACTGACATTTTACATAAAAATTGGATGGACCTTCAGGGACTATAGCTAACATTAGCACTACTCAAGATCCGAGCAAGGCATATCACGCCGTACGCATGATCGGCGTGGACAATGGGTGGTCATCTCTGACCATTTCAGTGGCCACGTCAGGCCAAAAAAATGTTAAGCATTTAAGAGCAGTGAACATGCGTCATGTAACAAAATGCAGCAATTGTGATCTTTCGGTTCGCGTTTGGAGGTCAATCGTCTACTCCAACCTTTTCGGTTACAAATACGTTCTGTGGAGACCAAAATGACCTAACCCGCCCGGGATTGATTCCTGCAGAACCTTCCCCGACCTCTCAGCTTGCTGGTTCTAGTCTATCAGTAATGTCTGTGAGGAGCGTGCTGTGGTGCAACGCCAAGTCTGCTGCAGGAGTCGCTGTTGGAGCGGCGTGATTTTCATTTCATGGTAGCGACGCCCACAATTAAAATCTAGTTCTGAAATGAGGTGTGTGAGATTTGGACAATTTCTTCAGGTTTGGCAGTGGTTAGAGGGAAGACCACGCCTCATGCATGCGTGTGGTGATCCTAGCTGGAGAGTCTTAAAATAGAGGGACAGATTGTTGTCCAATGTTCCAGGAGGGAGCTTGTGCAAATAAAATCCGCCAGGCTAGCCTTTCTCTATCTCGCATTTCGCGAGCAAAAATGTGAAATGAGAGGCTGAATGGACGGAACTGAATGAAAAAGAGTAGCGGCATGTTTTTTCTGGGTTGTTCCATGCTGCATGAAAGACCGTGATAAGAGGGTTGAGTGAAGCCTCCGTGTCTTCTTGTTTCAACGTATTTCTGTAGTTGTGAGTAGAAGTTAGAACTGGCTAGAAACCAACACTCGTATTGGCAGATTCGTTTTTTTTTTTTTTTTTTTTTTTTTTTCTGTCAAAGCTGATCACGTTGTACTCCAACGGTGTGATATTCTGTTACGTTGATTGTTTAGGAAAACATTGAAGACTGCAAGGTTGCGGAATTCCCCACCTTCGATTACTAGTTGTCGAATTGAAGAAGAATCCTAACTTATTCTGTGCAGATTTACTCCTGCAGGTACTGGAACTGTGGGGTTTGAAAGTAGACCCTGACTTGCACATACTTCTTTATGCACCATTTCCTACAGCGACTTTGCTCGAGCGGCTGAATTCTTTGAAAGCAGCCTCCTCCAAGTTTCGACGTTGTCGAAATGCCGATCACAGTAGACGAGAGTGAGCAGAAGTCGAGTAACATACTGGTGCGCTTGTTGGTGCGACACTGGACTGTAAAGCCAAATGAGAAGACGGCAGCTCGAGAAGAGCGAGAGAAGTATCTCTTTCTTTACTGGAAAGCAGTTCCGTTTAACAGATGGATGCTTTTCATTTCCTCCTTTCTAATCCAATTCTGCTGCGGATCGCTCTACTCGTGGTCTAACTTCAATGCCCCTATCGACATCCTCATCTATGGAACCAAAACGGCTAATAAAGCACCGAACACTTTCTACATTGCCGTCGGCATGTTCGGGACAACTGCCATGATCATGGGACCATGGCTGGAGCGTCATGGACCGCGCAGAGGATTGCTGCTTGGATCCACCGTGTTTGGAATTGGCCAAGGCATCGCCGCGCTCTCGCTTTACAAGAAGTCCATTGCCGGTGTGTACGTCGGGTATGGTGTACTTGGAGGTTTCGGGCTTGGGTTGAACTACATCTCTCCTGTATCTGCGCTGCAGAAATATTTCCCCGACTACAGGGGCGTTGCCTCAGGTTTCGCCGTCGCGGGATTTGGTGCTGGATCTATAGTATGGAGTAAAGTCTACCTCCCTCTCATCGATCGGTACCACTTAGCTGAAACGTTTGCGATCCTCGGCGCGGTTCTTACTGGGGCCATGTTATTCGCTGCAATATTCATGCGCACGCCTCCGAACGACTTCACTGCTGGTGGGTTGAACGTCCGCGGGGAGAAAGTAAGTCAGAAGGATATTGAACTTGACAAAGTTCTCGAGGAGGGCAATGTCAAAGACTTAGAACAAAACAAGTCTTTGGCTCCTGTAGTCGGGGCTCCCATAGTCATGACACTGATCCAGTCTATCTTCTCTCCGGATTTCTTCTTCATGTATCTCATGTTCTTTGCCAACCAGCTCTTTGGTCTCGTCGCTCTTTCTCGCCTTGCCAACATGGCACAGGATTTATTTGGCCAGACGAGATCGGAAGCAGCAAACGTAGTCTCCATCAATGGCGTCTTCAATTGCCTGGGCAGACTCCTTCTTCCTATGTCTGCCGACCTGGCCATCAAAACGTTGAGAGTGAACCCCCCGTTCGCTCGCAAGCTCATCTTTTATTTCAATCTAACGATCCAGGTCGTTATCGTTGCCGTTCTCCCAAGCCTAATCAAATCCAACAACTATGGCGGATTCCGCGCTGTCATGTGGCTGCTTACCTTTGCCTACGGTGGTGGATTCGGCACCATTCCGTGTTTCCTGACGGATATGTTTGGGCCTTACAACATCGGTGCACTTCACGGCATGATCTTGACCGCATGGTCAATTGGCGGAGTCGGTGGAGGGCTGGGATTCACCTCCATCTTCGACAGACATAAGCCTTCTACACAAAATGCGTCCGTTCCTGGTGCTTTCGACAAAGCTTACGAATCCAATTTCAAATGGATTCTTGGAGTGCTCATTTTCGGCCTTGTCATGCTCTTCTTTGTTCGCACTGATCTCCTTGATCGAATGTCCTCAGGGTGGCGGTACAGCATTTTCGGGAAGAAGATTGTGCATTTGAAGCGGAAGGAGGTACCTGATAGTGGCAAAGTAATCGACCACCAGAATGGTACCTCACCCAAATTGTGAGTGTAAATGAGGGTTAATGTCGATCCGTAGGGTAGAGCTTAACGTCCATGTTTGTTGATTTAGCTAAGACAGCACTTACACATACTGTACATTCTTGGTAGTTTCTGGAATAATCAAGAGTCTTCTTTGAGACGGTCACCATATATTATGGCCTGCGAAGTAGAAGCTTACGGAACAATTGGTGAAAAATGTTCTGAGTAGAGAAATATGTGAGATCTGTACCTAGGATTTTGGATATAAAGTTTAGAAAACGAATGATGCCTACTAGCTTTCATCAGGAGTTCATGGGTACCAGAACAAAACTGGGACAACTTTGGAATCTGCGTAGGATAACTTGTACAAAGTTCAACGAAAGGCACAAGAATCTTATCGAATGGCAACTCTGTAATGAACTCTTTTCAACTCAACAAGAGTGGGTTTTACGGCAGTGGACTTTCATGACAGTACTATTTTTCGGCAAATGAGTCCAATACCGGCCTCCAATAGTAACACTCTTTACCACTTTTTTCCAATGTGGGGACACCGATGGCTATGAAATCACTCATGGCTGGTCACTGATGTCGACTAGTCATACACTTGGTCCATTTACAAGAGCCTTGAAAACATAACTAGTGGGCCGATGGAAGTACCTCTAGGCTACATGCAAGTCTCAGGAAAAAAAAAAAAAAAAAAAAAAAAAAAAGCTCAAGTATAGGAGAAAATTCAGGCTATACTCCTGATATTTAAGTCTTGGCGTTTCCAATGCTTTGGCCACTTCTATTTCTATATGATGGCATCTACAGACAAATAAAATCAACAGAATCCTAACCTACAGTGTGTCCAAATAGGGCGAATTTCGTAAACCGACCATGTTATTTACCAATGAAAATTCCACTGAACGTTGAATTCTTGATTCACCAAACACGACTTGTGTGATCGTCCGCAAAATCCAAAATGTTCCGCTGCTCCCAAGGTCACATGTTGCCAAAACCTAGTGCGTCGCCGAGGAGAAATATCTTCGACACCAGTGAGAAGTCAGGAGTGGGGGTCTGTTCAGAAGCCAACGGGGAGGACAGGATCAATTTGTAATACTAACGTGCAGAATTAGATTGTAATAACGTATCAGACGAGTGCCGAGGGCCACCTCCATAATGATATATATATATATATATATATATACATAGATATACCAATCAGGCCTGTGCAATAGAAAATGAGAGTATGCCTTCAGGTTTGTGCCAAAGCCTTGGTGATGAGCACGAGGTGCTTCAGGTGCTTCGCAATAGATGAATCTTCTGTAACCTCGAATTGCTCTCTGTCGATGAAGCATCCGAGTAGATAATGAAGCCTGTGCTCCCCCAGATCTAACTCTCTACATACAGAAAGTCGAGGCAAACCAGGATGAACCTGCCAAAACATGTATGGACAAGGAAAACATCGTGCAAGGAGTTCAACACTACCTGCGGTGTTCGCATCTTCCTCAAGTGTTCTCAATCTTAAGTTTGCAACACAAAATCTTTGCTGCCTGTTCAGCTCGTCGAATCTTGTCAAGTTCGAATTCAGCAACAAAGAGCATTGCATACAAAGTGCTTCTAAACAATGTGATTCAAACAATGAATAATGAGAATGGAGGAACTAAAATAACATCTTTAGTGGTGGCCTTCGCAAATACACCAAGAACCACAGCATCATGAATTGCAGCATCTTTCAAAACCTGAAACATATTGGAAATGGTTTTGCAAACTTTCGCATGATGACACTAGAAGCTTCAAGGACAGAGAGTAAACCTTTCTACAGTCCCTTCATGAAATGGCATCGAAAAAAGTGTTGTATAAGGAATACTGTCTTCGCTTTCCTGGTATGCCAAACTTCACCAGCTTCTAAATACAATTCACTGCTTCTGCACCACAATATTACTAATCGGAAACATTAACCGATGAACTAATAGCAACTCAAATTTTTGAATTACTAGCTTTTATAAACAAAGACAAGATTTAATACAGAGATCTCCTGATCTTATTGTTGAAAACAAACTGGAATAAGTGGATCATAAGTGTGTACTGATTTGGATGTAACAAAATATAAAAACAATCTTTTATGTTTGTAAGGAGATACTTTGCAAAAGCAAGTAACCTCTATCCAAGACCAAAAAAAATTATTGATAAATAAATGTTAATAGGGAATAAATTTTGCATTTGATTTTGTCACAAGAACTAGAAATATGGAGATTTAAAGAAAACGTCATGTTAAACAAAATGATCTTGAATTTGGTTTTTTAAATTATATTTTTTTAAAATTAAGTAATAGATTTGTTTTTTTTAAAGTAAAAATGATTAGTATCTTTTAAGTTAAAAAATTAATAAAATAAAAATAAAAATTAATATTCATTTATAAAATTCAAATGTTTTAATGTTAGAGTTTTTAATCTTACAAGAACATTCATAATCCTTAAAGGATATAAAACAATTCAATTTAGTTTAGTTTAATTTTTTAATTTTTAATTTTTTTCACACCAAATATTGGATTTTGACAACATTGTAAGAATAATTTTTTTTTAATTTATAGTTGCAAAAAAATATATTTTTGTAGTCTTTATAGTAGAAAAATACTAATTATACTTCACCAATATTACAAAGAACCTATGTATTAAAATATTGAAGAAACAAATATATTTCATGTTATTATATACATATTACTTTCATACTACAATAATTTTTTTCATTTTTCAAATATGACATGCAACATATGAATCTAGTTATACGTAAATACTTTAAAATGTCAAAAGATGAGAGCAATTAATTGATCACTATTTTCTTATTTATTTCTTCTATTAAAACTTATAGTTTAAAAGTTTAAAATTTTAATTTTAATACTATATTTATTCAAAAAATATACACAAATATTCTGCACAACTTTAGATGTTCAAGATATTTTTAAGAGAGTCCTAAAGAAAAGAAAAGAAGCTCATTGTAGATTTTGCTAGTTAGGTCAAACCTATTCAAATTTTGTTGCAAATATTTTATTATATTTTTCTTCCAAAGATCTCTAACCTTCTATCTACCTCTTCTTAGACATAATACAAAATTCATCTCAATAAGTGATTATTAAGTGCCATTACATATATAAGAAAGAATATCTTTATTTCAAGAATGAGAGTCAGTATGAGATAAGCCTTATTTACTAATATGTTTTTAAGACTACAAAATGGAATGGCCAAATCAGAGATGCATGGTACTATGTTCATATGAGGCTCCAAACCTAGTCTTAACATTAATATGACTTGTAGGAAACTATAATCTTTATTACATATTTATAAATCTATAAATGAGATCTTTTGCAAAACAAAGTAATGAGATATGTAGACAAAACATATCAATTGTAATCTATTTGTATTCCGCAATTGTCATGATGTACTTAATTTAAGTCCATCAAAGATATTTAGAGCATAATTAATTTTACTTGTAGGAGGAGGAGAAATATAATACTAATATATTTATAAATTTGAATAGAATTTAGAATATGAAATTGTTGTCTTGAATGGATTATTTGATCTTGAGAGTATTGTCTTTAGGATAAATATCAAGCTTTATAATAGTTCAAGATGGATATTGGGAGAAGGTTAGGAATAGGGGTTTTCGAATTAAAGATTTTAATCTTAATTTAATTCTAATATTAAAGATTTTAATCTTTTTTTTGGAATTAAGGATTTTAATCTTTTTTTTGGAAGAGGGGGGGAGGAGGAAGGAGAGGCTGGAGGTCAAAAGGAGGAAAAATAAGGGATTACAAAAAAAATTGGAGGAGGGATAAGATTCAAGCCTAGTTTGAGGTTTTAAAGGCCATTTATGGAATTTTCATCTTTTTGTTTTGAAGTTTTGAGGTAAATTTGATTGTGTTGTTAGCTTTCCAATAAGCTATAGCACATAAGAAATAGAGCTATGAGGAGAGATAACCATACAAATTTATGAAAAGAGAGTCACTAGAGTTTTTGAGCAGCGAGATTCAAGATTAATTTAAGTTTTTCTATTAAATTTTTTGAATTTTTATCTTTTTGTTTTGAAATTTTGAATAAAGCTAGATATTTTTGTTAGATTTTCAATAAGCTATTTTATGTAAGAAAAAGAGCTTTGATGAGGGAGATTTACATGAATTTATTAGAGGAGGTTTGTTGGAATTTTCAAGCGGTAGAATTCAAGATTGATTTGGTACTTTCTATGCCATTTATAGGATTTTTTTTCTTTTTATTTTGAAAATTTAAAAGAAGCTAGAGCTTATTATTAGCTTTCTAATAAGCTTTAGTAAGTGAGAAGAAAAGCTATACTAAAGGAGATCTAAGCTAATTTATAGATAGGGGTTTTGAGGTAGCGACTATAATAAGCAAGTAATTTTTTTCTTCCTTAGTTTGGCTCTCATTTTTTCAAGATTTTGTTTATGGATTTTAAAAGTTTGAAGATTTGAGCATGAATTAAGCTCAAAAAGCTAAACTTCACCTAAATTGGATTAATAATAAGTGAATTATAGGTATTTTTAATAAGATGAGGTTTAGATTTAAGATTTGAGTTAGAGGTTGGATATATCTTGACATAAAAAAGAAATTAGTCTAAATTTTGTACTTAGCATTTGGCTATCTTTTTATACTTAACTTCATTTAGATAATATTATACTTTTTACAATCCATTTGCAATCAAGGAGCTTATATTCTCTTAAGAAGGATTATCATCTTAATATAAATTTGGTGCTTTCACTAAGGGCATCTTTGGAGCAATTGGGAGTATAAATAGAGCATAATGGAGTTATAGAGTTAGGATACAAACTTGGAGCATGAAAAAGAAAGCAAGAGTAGAAAGAGAGAAGTGAGGTTTTTTGACATTCAAAGATGATGGGTAATTTTAAAGGGACCGATATAAGTAGTTGTAGAATAGATATTAATTTATTTTTGAAAGATATTGATAAAATATATTAATAGTCTATATAATAGGAAATTCAGAAGGACGGATGAGTGATTTAGTTATTAAAAGTAGTTAATTACAGAATTAATATTAAAATCTGGAGAATCAGGGGAAAATATATAGGAGTTGTAGAAGTTAATTAGATGGCCAGACTATGAGAGTCGTAAGCCGAGGGCCATCGCTGTGATAGTGTGAGCCGGAGTAAGCTTGGTCCTACCTCTTTTCTTTTGTTTGTTATTTTTTTTGAATAAGAGGATTGAGAGTTTCTGAATATTATGAAGTGAATTATGGAATAGAAATGTGATTGATATTATTTGAAAAGAAGAAAGATTGAATGCTGAAATTTCATTGTAGTTTAGCAGAGAGAATGAGTCTGTGTTTGTGTGAAACACTGTAATGTGAATGGCAGTTATGTGTGAAGAATTCCAGTGATTGGAACGAAGGTAATT